CCATCAAGGGGGCTGTTGTCACCGACTTTAACATCAGACTTAATCTTCAAGCTGCCTTCAAAATACTACTGCCACATTAAAATGAATTACAACTCACTGTATTGTTATAATATACATTAAAAGAACTGAATTCTCAAACAGGTTAAGACGCATTTTGAATAAGCAATTAGTAAAATGAATGTGTTACTGTTTTAAAAGCAGAACAGACTTGATGATTAATGTAGAATTGACAGTCTTTAAGACAAAAAGACAGAGGTAGGATTTTTTTTCTCATTACAATGTAGGTAAAATTGAATCAGGTGGATTCAACATAGATAAGTTTTAATTAGACAAATGTCAAGCAAGCACATCAACTTCTTAAAAAACAAAGAAAATCTAAAAGTTTAATTACAAAACACTTGTACAGAAAACTTGGCATTTCAACAGTTCTAAACACACATACACAATTTTTTTCTAAATTTTAACTTTTCAGAAATAAAACACCTTGTCTCCCTTTTCTCAGCTGCTCCCTGTGGTATTTTTAGTAATAATAAAAAAAGGAAATCTGTAACACTGAATAGGCAACAACTTATTTCTTGAAAAGAGCACATAAGTGCAAAAACCAGGGCTTCTTAATGAGAAAAGTAATATTTGCAAGCTTATTGGGAAACATGAAATTAGGTATCGTGCTAGCCTATAGCCTCATTTACCACCTTCCTGTTGAGCACAGAGAATGGAGGAGCAGACACATAATCTGCTCTACAGAACCTGACAGTGTTGTAGCAGCTAAATCCCAGGCACCAGTGAGTCAGGTGGTTAGCTACTAGGAGAGCCAGCATTTCAAAAGCAGGCTGCTTATTTTGTGAAAAGGACTGCAGACTGTAGACTCTCCTGAGATCTCTTGGAACCTGAATATGCAAATATTTCAAGTCAATGTCAAGGGTCTTATCTAGAGTCAGGAGAATGATGATCTTTGGACCAAGTTACAGCCTTCCCTGTTCACAACAGCACTGCTAATAAAGTTGTATAAAATGGAACACAAAGGAGAAACAGAGAGAAACACTAGGAGGAAGAAAGAGAGTAAGGATCTGGCAGAAGGCAGACACAAACTACAGCTTGGATGTCCTTCTGCCATAGACAAGGAGTTCTAGCGTGGACTTAGCAGACAGTCTGAGAGAAGGGGCAAGAACAGCAGGTCAGAAAAGGAAAACAAGAAACTACAGAAAAGCAGGCAAGTTGGCTAGGTTTATAGCAATAGACAGTAAAGGGAAAAATTGCCAAGTGGTGGTATGTGGGATGCAGCACATGGAAATCTGATGTGTGTTCACATATGACATTTAAAACAAAGGTATTTTGTTGTTGTTTTCCTTTGGGCAAATAAACAGGTAAGGAGGTGCTGAGGAGACAGGACAGTGCAGCAATGTGACAGGGAGTTTCTGGCTTCCACCCTGGCTTGTGGCATACTGTGAGAGGGGCCACACTTCCATCCACCTGCCCTCAGTGGCACGGTGCCTGGACAATGGGCTCAGCATGTTCTGCTTTGGTTCCAAAGATCTCAGCTGCAACCGTCAGCCTTTGCTCTAGAGTGTCCAAAAAAAAAAAAAAAAAAGCCCTCAGGTGAGAGTCATCAGAAATCCCTCTTTCCTTTTGCTGTTCAAAAAAAAAAAAAGTCCCTTGCTAAGAAGGAAGGAAATCCTGTCCTTTTCACATAGATTCAGCAGTTCAAGGCTACAGAAGGAAGACAAAGAACATGACAATTCCTCTGTGCCCGTCTGGCCCACTCAAGAGACTATTCTGAATAACGTTTCTACCTATCTAGATCCATGAATCAGTACCCTTAAGAAGACAGGGACTCCCTCAGTTTTCAGTTATGATAAACTTAGGGATTTTTTCAATACCAAATGAGAAACTACTCTTTCTCTTTCTCTCCTCTGCTTACCAATGACCTTTCCCTCAGCAAAAAAAGATGCTCCACAAGACATTGCCAACAGATGGGAAAAAGAAGAGCCTTGCTGGGGCTAGGACAACGTGTATGTGCAGGAGCAATGCTTAGAAAACAGCAGGCAGTACCAAGTAGGAAGGAAAGACCATTCTCCTTCAGGGCAGAAATCACAAAGCCTCGAAGAGAGCTGGCACCCACTGAGCACTGTGTGGGGTAGGAAACACAGCCTTGCTCCACAGGGCACTGTCAACAAGAAGCTCCTTTCTTTGGAGTCACAGCAGGGCAATGATGGGAGAAGATTGAGCCTGTCCAATGAGAGAAACTCTCCTTCAGAGCCCTGCTGAGTAACAAAGCCCAGAGGTCAGAAAATGGAGATGTATAACTTGGTGGGGGTGAAGGGAAGCAAAAAAAAAGTAACCCCCAAAGGCATTAAAAAAAAGTGACAGCTAGGTAAGAAAACTGGAGCTCCACTGATAAAAGGGTCCAATCTGAATTACAACAATGGGAAGTCTTCCTTTCTGCTGCAGAAGATGTCAGTCTCAGGGTCACCCAGTCAGCAGAATATATGCAGATCCACTTTAACAGAAATGGAAATGATAGGAAACTGAAGGTGGGAGAGTGGCTATATACTTTCAAAGCTTCCCACAAAGACGATTCCACAGGAAATTCACATACATGTTCCCTCTGCTGCTCTCTCATATGGCTTCCTGGGGTGAAGGCATTTAACTCACTGATAATTCCTTCCCAAGGAAAGTGATCTGTACTCCCTTCCTGCCCCCATTCAGTTCAAATTTCCATCGATGGCTTCTTATTCCTCACAAGTTAAAACACTTACAGAACATCTTGAAGCTGTAATACCTGTAGAATTAAAAAAAAAAACAAAAAAAACAAAAAAAACAAAAACAAAAACCAAAAAGACACAAAAAAGGTAAGCACTAATCAGAAGGGGTTAAGGCTATAGGTTTAAAAAATGCATTGTTCTATTTTCATAAGGGTTAAGGTGAGGAGCAGGATGAACGTAAACTAAAGAGCTCATAAAGCTACAAGCAGGCACCTCATTGAGATGTTTTAGATAACATTTCAATGAGAAACATGGCTCAGCTCCAGTTCAGCAACAACAGGAGGCAGGAAAATTGTCAGCTGAACACAGAAAAGCAGCTATCAGGGACAAATCTCATGATGGAAAATCAGTACTCTATTTTAGTTCAAAGAATGTACAGTCCATCAAATAACAATTTTATTCAAGTACAAATCTAACAATATCCACATGTTTAGGAATGTATTGTGTGAATATGATAAATTCTGTCACACTGATAAAAATACAATCACATGAGAAAAATTCCTTTTCAATCTTCAAAGTCAAATATCTATCATTTTGCTCAACTGAAATCAAGCAACATATGGACTTTGATAGCCTATATAAAGTGGTCATCCCTCAACATGAAATCAACCCCAATTGCTTTCTCCCAACCCTACTTTTCTCTAGGTTAGCCACAAAGAAATATGGCAGCTGAAGTAATTCTTCTTCTGTTTATCTATAAAAATAATTAAAAAATGGGCTGTATAGCATCATAATTACTGGATTATGATTTTTTCTCTTTATTTCTATTTATCCTAACACTTCCATTCCAAGATGTTTTAGTGCTTCCCTTCCCCGTCCTTGGAGCCCTGGTGGTACAGTGGTTAAGTGTTAGGCTGCTAACCAAAAGGTCGGCAATTCAAATCCACCAGCTGCTCCTTGGAAACCCTATGGGGCAGTTCTACTCTGTCCTATAGGGTCGCTATGAGTCGGAATTGACTCGATGGCAATGGGTTTGGTTTTTTTTTTGGTTTCCCCCTCTTTATAGCAATGTTTTAGAAACCCCACCAGACAAGGATTTAGGTTAGGTATCTGTGCTCTAGTCCTGGATTCTGCCCTCATCTACTTAGATATTTTTAGGTAAGACATTTTACCTCTGTGGGACTCAGTTTCTTTTTATGTAAAATGCTGAGATTTCTAATGGTCCCTTCTAATTCTAATATGCTCTAAAACTTGTACACCATTAGCTTCTCTTCACTCACTGGCTCCTGACAGTGTGTGAAACCTTTGCCAAGCTCATGTCAGCACAATTAATTGCACCACAAGTGCTGGGGACATGAGGCCTAGTTGTCTGTACATATTTATATAATGAGGCCAAGATAGTATTAATCATAGTCTTTGTAACTGTTTAATTTTGGCAGTTTTGGGGGTGTGGGGAACTATCTATTCTTAGTTTTGTTTGCCTGGCCAGAATGTAAGAATCTGTAGTAATATAACAGTTCACATTTTCATGTATTATGTTTTTCAAGGGCAAAATATTTGTAGGTTGAAATCAAGGATAACGGTGACATTCTAGGTTTTCTAAGATACCCAGAAAGCAGACATTATAGTCTGTATTTTTAAGATAAGTAAAGCTTTAGGACAGCCTTATTGGCAAAATGCTCAAAACAGAAAACCACTTTTGGCTCAATACTTGCAATAACTGCCCTATACCTATGTGAGGAGACACCATGTTACCAATTACTGTGCTCTTTCACAGACTTCCACAGTTTTCTGGCTCTGTCTTTTCAAGACTACAAGAGTGCTAATTGAAAACACTGAGTGAAAATGAGAAGGATGATGAGCCTCTGAAAATCCCAGACTGAGATTTACAAGCTGTTCCCTTCATAAACAGCAGCAGTAACGCCACTTCTTTATTCTGCAGGGAGTCCAGCCATCTCTTAGAAGTATAGTCCGCTCCATCTGGCTACTCACGAGAAGGACAGTAATCCTTTCCCTAACAGAGCACGGCTAAGGCTAAAAGTATAATGAATTGCCTGTACAGTTACTATCCAAGACCATGACCAAGAAGAATAAAGACTTCTGCCTTTGTCTCTGTTGGCAGATGTTGCCTCACTAGACAAAGAATCATGGGTTTCATGTATTCTTATACATATCACTCTAAGTCCAAACCAAGCTGATATATGACCAAAAGACTATCAATCTGTGGGAAGGTATACTAAAGAGTATCCTATCTCTAGGAATCTGAGTGAAAAAATACCACTTCCATTTAAGAAATGATTGCTAGTACCAAAATGTTTATTTACATGCGCAGATGCCTTCTGGAAATATACTTTTTCCTCCTCTAAAAGGACATAATACATATTCCTATGAATAGTATGTAATAATACTATGAATAATACAATATTAATCTGGCTATTTTTTAATTTATTAAACCAGGGCATTAACTGTTTCACTGGAAGTCTAGTTCACATTAACATTTAACATACAACAGTCACTGTGATATTCCGCAGTGAACGAAAAGCTTCTTACTTACCAGACTTATAATACACATTATCTTGCTAACTATTTGTTGTAAATTATCATTAATATTTTCTAGAGAAATCGAAAGGTAACAATTAAGTGATACCTATTTTGTTCTAAGTGCCAGTTTTGAATGCTTTCCTCTGAACTTCTCATTCACTCTTCAAAAACCCTTTGGAAAATAAATGCTCAAGAATACATCTAATAAAAGTGACAAAGCTAGAACCCAGGTTAAACAACAAAAATCATGCTCTTTCCATTAAATCATGCTGAGATAAGTATGAGAAAAAACTGTCTTGATTCTGTTTTCTAACATTATTTAATACATTTAGCAGTCATGCAACAGGAATCTTAATCAAGTCTCCAACTTATTTGCTCAATGTAATTCCAGGATCTTAGTAACGAGCACTCACCATTCCCTAACGATCAAGCCTGCTCACAACTTCTCGAACTGTAGCTATGAAGTTTTCATTGTCTTGGGGATTAGCTAAAATAATACTGTGCAGTCTGTTCATATATGAATCAATGGTGTCCACTGTAGGTGTTTCTCCACTTCCTGAAGTAAGATAAAAAGAGAGAGTAAGAAAATATTCCCCATTCAGTTCAACCATAAAACAGTTAAGTGAGTTCACAGCAAAAGAAACTGTGACTCTAATGTGGTCTGTTCCACAAATAAGATTAAAATTTTAGAGGAGAGACTTTCAGGCCTCAAAGAAATTAAATTAATCCATATACTCTTAAATAAACAGATGGGCTATATAACTGCTGTACAGTATATATGAGCAGTTACATAAAATAAACACAGGTTAGAGACTCCCCAGTTTTCTGCTGTGAATACCCTCAAACATGAAAGAGTATATAAGAAATGCTAGTGTCTGTTCTCCTTTTCCTTCTGATTAAAACAATAACAAATACAAAGCAAGCAAACACACACACATAAGAGAAAGTGCTCTATTCAGGATTTATTACTCAGTTTTCATTGTTCTGAATATTAAATTATGTGCAACAGAAAGGAAAGTATATTGTATTAAAATATAAATGGGGTAAATGTAAATGACCAAAGAATCTGAAATTCTGGATGATTTTAGCCAATACAGATTCTATTACATGACCCCCAGAAAACTCTGAGGGAAAAAACGTATTTTATTGATTTTCCTCTTGAGGGATATTAAGCCTTACCATGCCAATACCATCATAAACAGTATCCCCCCTTTAGCCCCCACCCCTGGCCACTGAAATGTCGTTACCAGGCAAGGGCATGCTGGCAAAGCTGCTGGTCAACACCTGCCGCAGGGTCTCCAAGTGCTGCTGTAGGACTGTGTTGCGGCTCCGCTCCTGGATTACATCCACCTCCAGCTTCTCCACTGCTGTGCGCATGCTCTCCACGTGCTTTTGCAGGGCTGCATTCCTCTCTTCAAACTCCATGTTGGACTTCCGAAGCTGACGGAGCTCTGCTTCCCGGGCTGAGGACGTACACCCCAAAGAAAACATACAGCACTACAAAGAGTCTCTCAGGAGTCTCAATGATTTTTATATGGGAGTTCTGCTCAGCTGCCTCTAATTAGAATGCCTTTAGCTACCCACCTCATCTCCCTACTCTTATTATGGCATTCCAGATAGCAATCCCAGTAATGAAACTCCTGGCTCCCCAGAGCTATTTTAATTTCCTAAAGCTGGTCATATTCTATATATAAGACTGTAAGGAACAACTGCAATCCCCTAAAGCAGGAAAGCAGTATTTTTTGTTTGTTTGTTTTGCATTTTAAAACTGTGCATTGAGAAGCCTGAGGGGTTTCACAGAGGGATCCTGAGAGACTGGCTAAGTACAGCTGTGGCTCCCCATCTTCACTGCAATGGGATTAACTTTCGTTTATTTTAAACTTTGGACTCCCAAGTAAGCTTTCATTTGTACAAAGGGTTCCATGGCTAAGTTTGAAAACAATTCAATTAGTGATTTACTTTTATTCCCTTTGATCCAGAGACCAAAGTATCTTTTCTCCACTGGTGTCTGAGTAGCTACCTTTAATATAGAGTGAAACAGAAGCAGTTAATTTTGTCTCCCAGATAATTTCTAAGGAGGTGTATCACTACCACTGCCTCTGAACAATAAATTCCTCCTGAGAACTGAATCCCCTGTCACAGGCCTGAGGAACACAAAAAGATGTTCAGTAATCACCTTTGCTGTGGTTCAGGAATTCTTCTGTAAATATAGGGATGTCAAAAACAGATCGTTCCTTTACCTCTGCTTCTTTCTGTGAATCAAAAGTAACAGAACAGTTAATTCTTAAGCAGAAGCAAAATCAAATAATAATGCTTGAAAGCACAATGGTCACATCTTCCTTTGAGCAACAGCAGGGTGAGCAGGAATCAGTCCAGGTGAGGATGCAAAGGAAACATATTCACTTTTCCACTGGAATCGAACTTCTACATGAGCTTAAACAGGTTAAATTTTCAGTTCTCTCAGTTGTACAACTGCTGTGCAATGCGAAACATTAAAACAAACCTACACAAATTTCCCTAATGGAGAATCTGGAAGTCCTTTCTTAGCTCTGTGCTTTGAAGAGTCAACAGTCTACAGTTCTGAAAGTGGGTGAAGTGGGAATTGAGAAAGGGAATATCTAGGTGTTTTTCCAGTTGTATCTACTGGTTATGCATATAAAATGCTCTCTGACTACCCAATCTAAATCTGTAGAGTGGACAGTAAGAATTTTAAGCAGACCTCTGCCAGTCATGAGCAGTAATAATGGTATTCCACTGGTACTTCTATTTATTTACCAGAGGCAGCACATCCTTGGGGCTCTTTTAGATTTTCTTCAAACACAGGAAAGCCAAACAAGCAAGTAAGCAAGTAAGCAAACAAACAAAACCAAGAAGCCAGAAATAACCAGATTCTAAAAATGAGAAAGCCAGGGATTATGTGAGATAGAAGAGAATAACGAAGCCTATAATTAATTAACCAATAAGTCATTAAAAACAGTCTCACAAAACCACTACAAAATATATTCCACAATGATCCTTAAGTATAAAGTCAATATTTTCAAAATGCATTGGCTGCCATTTCTTCAATGAATTTGAAATTGAAAGCATTATGAATACAAATTATAAGCTTCTTGGAACAGTTTTCAAAATCTTGCATAATACGAGATGGTAAAGACAACTGTGGGAAATGAGTACTGAAGAAACAGCTAGTGGAATCTGAAGATTTCAAAACCTCTACAACATGAGGAACTATTAAAAAAAAAAAAAGACCTATAAATTATTTGTATAAAAACATGTTTAAAGTCAGAGATAGAATGTATCTTTACTACTCTTGCCACAACTAGTCTTTTATCTTTGAATACTTCAGGCATTAAATGAAAAGTCAAATATGATTTGGTGTCCAACAGAAAAGTTAAGCAGTTAATAGCCTATGAGGGAATTCTGATGGCCAAGTTCCTGTTTTCTTACTGGTGTCTGCCTTGTAAGGGACTAGGCTTGTGTGAACTGCTTGCCAATGGCAGTTGACCAAGACAAACATCTAAGATGGAAGTCTGAAAAACTATGTATTTACCTGAGGAAACTTAAAGAGCAGTTAATATTTACACTATCGTTTTCCTCCTAAAGAAAGTTTCCCAGAGCAATACAAAGCACTACCTTGAGCCAGCTCCTAGTGGATATCAATGGGATTCTAATGCGTGGGTAAGAAACGGTGGTTCCAGAAGGGACCTTAAACACATTTTGTAGTGCTTTTCTTTCTACTCTGCTAGCTTACCATATACACTAATTCTGTTACTGAGTTGCTGCAGGAAAACAGAATATTTATGACACATAGTCCCAACATGTACAAGGCATGACAAAGCATAAATCCACAAATAACTTAGGATAAAGTCTTATGACTTTATCATCCTACCTTGTTAGTCTCCTACTTATCTGTCCAGGCTTATGCAAGATCAGGTACCTAGCCATAGGCTTAAATATGGGTAGATCATATTTAGATGGTTATGGATTAAACTGCATCCCCCCAAAATGTGTGTCAACTTGACTAGGCCATGATTCTCAGTA